CGAAGTGATGCTGAGAAAATCAGTTACTACAAAAAACTTGGTAATGGGCTAGATATGAAGAAAGTCTCTAAAGTCTCTGGCTTGGGCTCTTGTGTGCCTCCAGAGTATGGAAAAGCAGAATATGAGTTTAAGAATATGAGTTTAAGACGTCAAAGTTGGATCAATGATTTACTTTGAGAACCTGTACGTTATGCAGGCAAAATAGTCTATAGAGAGTTGGACTGCAAATTCAGAGTGCAGAATGCTGATATGGATTGCAATATGGGATGTATAAGTGATCCAAAGCACATGAAATCATTCTCATTTTATGAGAACACGTTAAAGGAAGAATGAACAGAAGAGAGAGTTGGGGGCCAGGAAAAGATAGGAGAGTACATACAAAGGACTCTGGGAAAACAGCTTTAAAGATAGGGACAGTGTTCTTAATAAAGACTGACTGTAAGTGTGAAGAATAAGAGTAATTAGAAACAGTGTTAACTCAGAGCTAAATGAGGAAAAGGGTCCATATCTACAGCAAAAGAATGAGAGAGATTTTATGTTTAAATTTTTCATGAAAGATGTACCTTAATTCTGTTCAGAAGTATTTTAAGAGTGTCCAACTGAACTAGAAGTCAGATATCATTTCCTTGTTACTTATGAATCATCATTTAAAGAGTATTGATCCTGGGGCTGGAATTAAGACTGCTTGATGCTCTTCCAAAGGGCCCCAAGTTCAGTTCTCAGCACCGACTGCCTGTAACTCCAGCTCCAGGAGATTTGGCACCTTTTTTGGCCTCCAAAGGTATTTGCACACATATGGCATTCACTCACACAGACACACACAGGCACTCATCAAAAAAAAAAAAAAAAAAAAAAAAAAAACAACAAATAAAGAATGTTGATCATTATGTTACTGAGTGAATCACCATATCATGTACTTTTAATATAAAACCACCTGAAGTAATAAAAGTTGATGATCAAAACCCAGAAGAAAAGTACAATTTAGATTAAAGGATTTGCTCAATATAATGATTATATTTCTAAAAAACGCATATGAATTTATATAAATGAGTGCTGATTAAATTATATGTAAGAAACTGACAATTTATGCTCCTGTCAGAGTTGGAAATTGTCCTTAAGGTTTTGACCAGTTCTGCAGGAAAGCAAAGCAAAGCAGCAAATGTTTAATTTTATGTAACCACAGTCACATTTATTTAAAGTCACATTTATTTAAAATTACAACTTGGGCACGAAGAACTCTGCCTACCAACAAACACTAGTGTGAGACACTGCCACGGGGTTTTCATTTTTTTAGTATATTTTAGGATTATCATTCTTTTTGATTTCAAAGAATCACCCCTTTTTTCTCAAAGAGGCTACATATAACAATAGTTTCTTTATTAACTATTGTTTTTAAAGAACAGTACTATGCAACATTATTTTTGGTGGTAGCACATATTCAGTACTAAAATGCAAATTACAATTATATTTGAACTTAAATAATTTTATTAAAATAAATATTTCAAGTACATTATATCTGGTTTCTGTGAATTATAAGGACACAATTTATGTCATAAGAATGGATAATTTCTTACTAGTTGTTGGTCAGGGAGGCTCCAGAGGCTCTCAAAACAATATAGGCTATGCTTGATTGCTCACCAGAACTTGATGGCGAGACCCTATTGCTGAAAACACCACCCACGCTTTGGAAAGAGACACAGAAACCAAGCTGGGACCGAGCTGGAAGCTTCCTTCTTCGTAGCTAGCTTTCAAGGGTGCTGTAACCTGTGAGCTATAATACTGACCTCCCAAGCAGTGTAGCAATGGTTTGATTATGATGGGGGTGACCAGCTGCTTTCTGATTACCTGATCCACAGGAGGGAACCCTGTGATATTGTAAACCTGCTCTAGAGCCAATGGCTGGAGTGGTCATTAGCCCTAGAGAGGAAACTACTACTGTTGTTTTGTTAAATGGACATGCTGTTAAATTGCCTCCTAATACTCATGTTTATATCCATAGGTTAATGATTTCTCACCCTTCATCTGAGAAATTTCTTACAACTTGGGCAGCAGTTAATGCAAAGACCCATAACCACGCAAAGTGCTAAGAATAAGTGAAGATTGGAGTGCTCCATCTTAAACAAAACATCTAGTTCATCCATCCCAAGAGCTCAGGGAACATCATGAGGGGGAGGGAGATGTAAGAGCTGCCAGTCAAGATGTGGCCACAGGTGCAACAGCAGCTTGATTATGATGAAGGGAAAGTAGTGTGACACAAAGACATCTTCTAGACATGACATGAGCATCTCCCCGAAGAACTCACTGGCTGTGGCTACCGGCACAAGACTGATGCTTTTGTAATAGGCACCTTCTTGACCAAGAGCTATGCCATGTTAAAGTTTAGGCTGACTCTAGTTTCTGAAATTATCCGGGAGTTGGCCCAGGATACATGCACGCTGGACCCTGGTTGTCTTGGGAACACGTCAGAGTGTCCTAGAGTGCTCCTGCTAACTGCTGATTTATGGCTTCTGTAGGTTATGCTTGGCTTGATTCTGCAAAATAGTAATTGTTGATTAATAGAATAGAAATTCTTAAGGGACTCTCCACCTCTATGCTTGGGAACGTAAACTTTTCACTCCTGGTTATAGTTTCTCTGTACAAAAAGTATCCCACAACATTTAGAGGTTCCTAAGACACAATTGCTATACAACAAAACCCCCCTAGAAGGAACTTTGTGACCAGTACAGACGAAGTAGAGTAAAAGTAAGATTGATAATGTCAGTTTATGAAAGAGGAGGAAGCTGGTTCCATGCAGGTGGGGGGGTTTGGGTGGAAAATTGTGTTTTCTTATGTATTTCCTTGACAATGTTTGCTCAGGCTTAATGCTCAATGATTGGCTTCTGCTTGCTTGCCTGGCAACATGATCAATATAAAAAGAGCCACAGTGCCTAGGCTCAGGGCTGCACTTTAACCTTCTAGGAAAGAGTGTAGCCCAGACATAATAAATCTTCTTTTCTTTCTCCAGACTCACCTGTCTGTTTGTCCGTTTGGGGCATTTGTGGATCACAGACTATAACACTTTCAAAAGTTTCTGAGGGATGCGAGAGGGGCTCAGGAGGCCCCACTCCCCACTGAGGGACTACTGGCAGTTAATGGTTTCTGGAGGAGGGAGTATCATAGCCCATACTCAGGTAAATAACTTACCACCTATCTTTAGGCAAGCAACCCTAATCAGACTCAGTGGTGTACACACACACAAACACACACACACACACACACACACACGCACACACACACACACACACTCGGATTATGAAAGTAGGAGGGGAATTCTGTTTTTAATTTATGTGTATGCATGTATTGCCTGCATGTAGGTAAATGCACCCGTGTCGTGCAATGCCCACGGAGGTCAGAAGAGGCTGTCAGATTCCCTGGGACTGGAATTATGGGCAGTTGTTAGCTGCCATGTCGTACTGGGATTCGAACCTGGGTCTTCTGCAAGAACAACCAGTGTTTGTAACCGCTGAGCCATCTCTCCAGCCCCAGGAGGGGAATTCTTTAAGAAGGAGTTCAGCCAAGGAAGGAGAAGATGGTAGAGGGTACTGGGGGAACCAATACAAGTCACTATATACATAGAGAAAACTCTCCACCAATTAAAAAGAAAGTCTGCATGTCTCTACTCAACATCTCTCTACTCGACAGTGACTTTTTACTGTTTTTAACCTAGTTGTTTAGTTTGAAGTATGCCTCCTCCTGTCTTGACTTTTTCTCTCTTCTGGGAACTGAACCCAAGGCCTTTCACTTGCCAGGCAAGAGCTCTGTCATTGAGCTAAATCCCTAACCCCACCTATTTTTCTCACATAGAGAAAAAGAAGTACTTTTCCAGATGAGCAGAACGTGATTTGTAACAATGCTTGCTGCATAGACATGGTGTAGTTTCTGTTCTAGTGGAATACAGATTCTTGTTTAGACTGATGGCGGGTGTAATACAGCCACAGGCATAACGTTGAGTCACTGGAGTGCAATAGTGGCATGCAGAGGGACTATAATTTAGGACGGTCGATACTCTGGATTTTGAGAGTGTCAGGCAGGAATGAGGTGGTACACCACATCATCTGAATCACAGGAATTCAGTCTAGGAAAGGGAGATGAAGCCCTGCTGGTCCAGAGAGCACAGGAGTAGGTGGGGAGTATCCTGGCTCCACAGATGAAAAGACCAGCGCCCAAGCATCTTCACAATCATTCTGAGGTCAGTGGGGTCCTGGGATTTCTTTCATCATTTTGGAGCCTAACCAAATGGCCTCTACCTCTAAACACACACTCAGACATATAAAGAACTAAGATTCCACGATAACCACACTTTCTAAGCTATTAAGTTTTGCTTGAAGACAATCTGATTAAAACAAATCTCAGTCAAAACTGCATTTTTAATTTGTAAGATTGTATATGCTGCCATTTTACTTTCTAAAATAATGTGCTCTAGTAATGCATGAGAACAGCTTCTACAGAGTCACTACCAGTAATGTATTGAAACATAAACACATGTGCACAGTACCTGGGCGGCACACAAGGATATGTGTGCCCTGTGGCTTCTCTCACTTCTCCCACCATTTATCCCACGTGTGCTCATAGCAGCCCTTCATGAATGCATGCATGCTGGCGTAATTTTTTCTTTGGGGGATAGTCCTCCCTTTCCTCTTTGACTGTTAAACTCTTATGACAGCAACGCTTGTTCTTCTCAGTCACACCTTCCCTCCCACCCTGGCAGGAGCTTTGTCCGTGTCCCCACAACGCTCTCCATGTATTCATAAGGAACATCGAGAACACTGTTTCCGTGTCTGCAACTTTCTTCCTTAGTGTGGTCACAGAAATATGCTGTAACTGACAGACAGTCATCTGTTTGCCACCCCACCAGCATTCAGTATTTATTTGTTGACTCAAATATCGATTTAAAAGTAACCTTACTTGAGTATCACTATGGTGTTCTGAAGAAGGGCTATCCTTCCTGCAACTTTACTTACCCTGTACAAGGTGAGAATTGTAGTCTGGAGGGGCATCGGGGGCTGCATTTGGCGATTTCATTTGGCTTTGTATTTCACCTGCAGGCTGCTCAGGGGCTGTGGGGACCACACCTTTGGGGGAAGAGAGGAGGCATGACTCACATAATAACTGATAACATGATTAAAAATGTACTCATTTGGTCTCTTTGATATGTGTCAAGGCATATAAGCAACATAAAATATACCTGTATTCCTTAGGAAAAACAATAATCTATTAATAAATTTCTTGAAGTTTAGACCAAGCATAGACTGTGCTTGTGATTGGAGCATGAGCTGCTGACTCCCACCTATAAAGTCAATCCCTTGCAGACAATGAAGCTTCTCTTATGAGGAAAACAAGAAATACAAACTTGATTCCTTCTCATCTTTTGGAAATTGAGAAATCCTTCTAAATTCAATACATTAAATACTTACTAGCCTAGAACGTAATATAGCCATACACAGCTCAGCCAGTCAGCTCAGTCCACATCGCACTGAGAGATACTCTCACTGCATTCTTTTTCTAAAAGCCACTGTAATGGCTTCAAGTGTGCTGCTGAAGGCTATTTTCTTGCTGTTACATCCTGTTCTCCTGTTGGAGTCAGAGGGATTTCTTATTTGACTTACTATAGGAAAAGGTCTCAGTGTCATAAACTAAAGGCTTATTTGTATCTCGGAGGAAATAAAAAGTCGTCGCTGTGGTGTTTCTCTCTTTAAAGCATTTACTCAAAAAGGCAGCGCCAACATCCAGCTCCTCCTTGTGGAGGGCAGGTGGCGCCACAGTCTCTCACTGCATCCCCTTGCAGACGTGATCCTCCACCTTGCTTTCCTTCACCTGATTTCTCCTAAACAATGAGAATCCTTTCAGGCCTGTGTGTGACTATGAACTGCTGCTACTCATTTTCCCACAAAGATAGAGTGTTCATATGTACAAATGAACAGAAATATGCAAACATAGCCACATACTAAGTAACAAAATATTTAAAGTTAAATATACACCTTTAAAGAAAACAATCACATAATTCACATATGAAAATAAAACATTAAAAATTAATAAAAATGTGGCTAGAGAGATGGCTCAGTGGTTAACAGCACTTGCTCTCTTACACAGGATTCAGGTTCAGTTCCTAACAATCACATCAGGCAGCTCACAACAGCTTGAACTCAGTTTCAGGGCGTCCAGCACCCTCTTCTGGCCTCCATGAGTACCTTCATATACATGGTCCACATACATACACACTCAAGTCCACACATAAAATAAAAAAAATAAATCATTATAGTAATAAAAACATACCTGACATTTTGATGAATTCCAATTATACCTGAAAAAGGAAATATTTTAATGAATTTATCTATACAAATATGATACATATCTACTACTATTATTTATTGACACACTTGAGAAGTTGGGTAAATTTTAGCTGCTAGTAATCTTTCACTCACCATTTCACTGCTTTGGAAAACACAGTCTTTACAGTATAGGAGGCACTACCACAGAGGTCAACAGAATACAGAAAAAACTAAGCTGTTTTCCCATTCTGCTGCAGTTTAGATTATAATTATGCTTTCAGTGAGAAATCTTCCCCATAGGCTCATGTATTTGAAAACTTGGTCCCCAGTTGTTGGCATGCAATAGGATGATCATGGAGCTTTTAGGAATGTAACCTTGCTAAAAGAAGTACATCACTGGGGATGGACTTTGAGAGTTTTAGAGCCTCACCCCACAACCTGCTTCCTCTCAATTTCCCACGTGTGGTGAGATGTGTTGTCTTACCTTCCTGCTCCTGAGACAGGCCTTTCTGCCTTAGGAACGTCTAGGCCTCTGGAATCATAAGCCAGAATAAGTTCTTCCTTTTGGTAATGGCACTTTATCACAGTCACAGAAAAGCAAACTGGTACAGAGGCTGGTGGGGTTGTTGGTGTGAAGAACATGCAAGGCCATGTTGATTTTGAAACTCTGAGCTAGAAAAGTAGCTGAATGTCATAAAGAGAGCTCAACCAGCCACTCCAGTAGAAGCCTAGAAGAACACAGTAGTGTGGACAGTAAAGCAGACAGTGGAGGCCCAGGTCATGCTTTAGAGGGGACAAAGAAAGACCGTATTAGCAAGTGGGCTGCAGGCCACTCATTTGTGAGATATTTTATCAAAGATTCGGGCTGCCTGCTGCTCTCATTCTAAGAGTTTGTCTGAAGCTGAATTAAAAAGCAAGGGTATTAATTTCTTTGGTGGAGGAAATTTCAAGAAATCATAACATTGCATCTGTAGAATGATTATTGTTGAATACTTATTTGCAGGTGTACAATGAAAAGGAGCAAACAGGGCAGAAAGAAATAGAAAAATGCACAGTTTGGAGAGGAAAAGAATTCTAGGAAGCCTAATGCTGTCTCCATGGAATGTGTTGGAAAAGAGACTACGATTGTTAAAGAGATTAGAGCCATTAAGAAGAAGCCACATGCTCTGCACTGGAATAATGGAAAGAAAATCCTCAAGGCAAGACTACCAAGCTAAGCTTCCAACTTATACAAGGAGAAAGCCTAAGGATTTACCTGCTCCTAGAAGGCAGTAATATGTAAAAACTGCTGCCAATGTGAACCAAGGGGGCAAGGGTCCATTCAAAGCCGACAGCCAAACCTGTAGCTTTTAGCATGGTGATAAATCACAGTAACAGAAAAGTAACTAACACACAGCTTTGCGACTTGTTCTTCTAGCACCCTCTATACTGAAAGACACTTGTGAGTCACAGCGAATGAAGAGAATCAATGTTTGTCCACAGCTGAAGGCCAAGCAAGATGTTTGAAATTTATTCTAACTACCGTGGGGGGTCTTGGGAGGATTTTAACCAACGCAGCAATCATGTCTTCCTTAGACTGCATCTTGAAAGATACACGTATGGCAGCCATTATCCAGGTGGAGCTGGTGCTGGTGAGGTGACACTGGAGAGTATCAGGCCTGCTCAGAGGCCTGGCGTGATTTAGAAACGTTAACTAAAGAGTAGTTGATGGGCTAAAGATGGGAGTCAGGGTGATTCCCCCAACCATAGGAGATGGAAGAGGAAATGTGCAGATTGGAGAACAGGATTGAAAGTCCAATTTGGTGCTTATTACACTTAAGAATAGGACAAAGAAATATAAGCTTTTAAATGGAAAATACATATACCATCTATATGAGGATTAAATGTCAGGGAAGGGAACTAGAAGTTGAGAAAAAGTCTAAATTAAGGGCTGAGTGAGGTAAAATTAGAGAGGGTGCTGGCTAGAAGGAGAGAGGTTATCAAAGAAAAATTTCATTGTTCCAGAATTTCTAAGCTCTGGGTAGTGACAATTAACAAGGAAAACAACCTCAGTGAAGGTCGTATCTTAGAGAATGCTTATCATTACCTCTAATTATAAAAACATCTCACCCATGTATGAATGACTAACCCTGCTAGAAGCAAGTACTTTTAAGTCTACAACTCACAGACCTTAGAGTATAGAATGCAGTATCAAGTGAAAAGTCACCAATACAGAGTGAACAGGCCACAGAAGCTGGGAACTCCAGGTGAGCGAGCCATGGGGGTGAAGCCTCAATTGGCATCAGGCCGTAGGTCGATTCTCACCAAAACACTGCCCTACCAGGATGTGTGAGAGTTCAACCAGTCTTGGGTCATCTCCATTCCCTGGAGCTAGATTTAGTGCGTTATACTATGTACTTCAGTAGACTAAAATAAAGGCATACATAAAGTCAAGGCCCACTCTGGGCCAGCCAAAGTAGTCCAGGAGTTGGTACTGTGATAAGAACCCTGTGGTTTTAGAAAGTGACTTCAGTTTCCGGAACTTTAAACTCTAGACATTTTAGATACCGAAAAAGATTCCTGAGGAAGCACACAAAATATACAGAACTCTTTTTTGGAGACAGGGTCTAGCCATGTAGTTGACCTTGACCTTGATCTCCTGTTCTTTCTATCTTAGACCTTTTAAGTGCTTAGATTATAGGCATACACCACCAGGCCAAGCTAGGAAAAAATA